TCTTGGGTTACTTTTGTGTTGGATATACAAGACTGTTTAGTGTAAGTGTTATTATTTAGTTTATTTTGTGACTTAATATTTAACGATTCTTTAGTTTTTAAGACAGGACTATTGAAGATGGATTGTTTTAAAAGTGTAAGCTGCAACAAATTTCGTTACGTAACTCTGCACGAGTCGTACGTTATGTCTGCAATTATATTGTTGTCCAGACTTTACTAATATTGTTGACGTTACGTTACTAGAATCTTCGGTATTTTTCTCGTCACCTTAACTGAGTATTATTACATTATAGCACCGCTCGCGTAGTTTGTCGGAAATTCGAGGCCTTTGTCTTGTCAAAGGTTCCTCTGAAGTAATTGAACTCGTCTGTGTGGACTTTGACGAAAAGGAGACAATTATTTAAAGTTCGAGATACAACTGTGGTAACTCACAGAGTAATGTAAGTGAATTATTCACTCATTTGTATTGTGAGAAAATAAGATAAAGAAAAATAATTCGTCTTGTCAAATGGATTATAAAGTAATTGAATAAGCCTGTGTGGACTTTTTACAAGAAAAGAGAATTATTAAAGATTTTAGATACAACTGTGATATCCTATAGTGTAAATAATTTTTTGTACACACGTTTGACTTGTTTTGAATAAATGTTATTTCAAAACAAGTGGATTGTGTACTGTCTGTTTATTGTTCGAATTTATCGCCAACGAGTTACAGACATCTACTGTAGAAGGAACCTCAGCTCACTCATATACATAAAACCCTGACATTTTGTAAGACCAATTAGTGAGATTTGACCGACACTCTTATAACACCCACAATCCTTAAATGCTGAGCGCGATTTTTTCTTCTTGGCAGTAAATGGACTCGAACAACGAACCTCAGAGCCATAGTCTGGCTTGCTAACTATTGGATTGCATTTGGTCCTGTATAGAAATTGTTCGACTTTATTATCTGTAAATAAAACATATGTAATTTGTTGATAAATTGTCTCTCATCTATCCTTGTGTATCGATGCATTTAATGTTTTCTCTAATTCTGTTTTATATTTTGTTTGCTGTCAATAAAATGCTCATAAACATGAAAAATAAAATATAACACATTATCCTTTCAAAATCAAAATATTTTGTCTTTTTTGTATTGCTGTCACTAATGGGCCTATTGATGTGAAAAAGAAGACAGTATAGTATTTCATTCGTAAACAAAATGATAGAGATTGTTTTTCCTCGTTAAGTGTTTCTATATCTTTGTGTGAGTTGTGTGATACGCCCTTCCAGTATCATAGAGGGCGTCGCTTCAAAATTTCAGATTGATTGTGTATTTGCTCATTATATGTTCTGAATTTTTGTAAATTGTTTTTCTGCTAAAACTCTCTCTAAAAATTTTCTGTACAATAGGAAAACATTTTCCTATAGATTTGTGTTTTAAGAAGTTGGTAAGTAATCTTTCAAATTTAGAAGACAATAGTTGTCATTAAACTCGTACAAACATCAGTTACATGGGTCTACGAAGTTAAATAAATGTGTTAAGTCGTTTATGACTCATACACTTTACTTTACTACACTTGTCATTTAAATGATATGTATACATGTATATCTTGTTGTTGCTGCTGTTTTCATAGATGAAAGCTGCACAATGAGCTATCTACACTCTGTCCATTGCAGAGAATCGAAGTCCGTACACTTATCGCTAATCTACCGGGCGACATATAAATAGATATAAGTCAACTGCAAGTCGGCAAGTAATAGCACCATAAACCAGAATTCTAATTAATCTGATATAATTGATCATAAGTATATTTTAATGAGAAAAGTAAAATAAAAATAAACATTTATAGCAGCTATAGAACAATAGAAAAAGGTATAAACTAGAATAATAAAAAAGGGTGGGAGTAGCACCCAAAGAGCATTGAGGATTTTCGTTTATTTATTTTTTTTCAATTAACTTTAATATTTCAACTGAAGAACTGTTATTCATGCAACTAAAAAATAACAATAAAAAGGGATGAAGCCAAGTTAAATAAGCATTCTATCGTCCGTGGCTGGTGGAAGAAGACCTCTCAATATAATTTACTATGACAAGAAGATTGGGAGTTTATATTATTCTTATCGAATTGTGCAGACAAACATGATTTTATTGTTCTATTATATCATTAATGTATTATATGAATTAGGTTATAAAGATGATAAAGTTTATGATCCACACTCAATGTTTTCTTACATATAGATGCTTAAGTTAAATTAAAATAACTGTTCTATTATTTTTAAAATAAACAGAATTACTGGTAAAATAAGTCAGGGTACTTGTATAATTAAAAAATATAAGAAATAAAGTATATTTTATTAGTTCGTATAATCAAAATTTGCCTTTAAAACATTTTTTTAAAATTATGACATACAATATTGTTATGTTACTAACAACTTTCAAACGTCTGCATCAAAGTGCTAGCTGTAAAAGATGCGAAATACATTATAAAGTGTATCTTTAATGTACTTATTACAAACATGGACAAAAACAAGACAGAAATCTCTAACTTATTTGTTGTGGACTATCGTCTGTAGAGTATTGGAAATAAATAAAATGGGCATAAAATTAAAATATTATGGTTTTCCTCCTCTGTTCTTTGACCATAAATCACACGAGAGTATAATCACTTGTTAATAGTTTACATAGTGATTAGCTGTCATCCAATCAACCAGACAGTGCTACACCAGCATAATACCTATAAGAATAGACGAAGTAGCATACTATCCCCAGCAGTAGTGTGGTGATTGAACACATGACTACCAGAACAGAAACGTCACATAACAAATGCGTAGAAATCAAAGGTGAAAGCTACTGTTTGCGACGTAGTGTGATAAAATTTCATGTTTTGTAAGATCTATATGGTTACTCTGATGAAGGAACTTGAAACTAGTACTGTTGATAGTAGAAGCTGTGGAGGTAGAAAGTCCAAGCGTTTCAAAAGCGTTGTTAAGTAACTCAGGGTGTACTATTTATGGGGTACACGACGATTCAATAAATAATTGCAAAGGTCAAAGCGATAAGTTAAGACGTGAATCTTACCTCCATAATAATAACATTTACTATAGCACGAAGTGTTTTCATTGGATGCTATGCTGTTTAAAAACCACTGATTAAACCAGTTTTTGTACTATTAGCCACGATGAAGCCGCAATGGCGAAACTTTGGCTGAAATAAGAAGTTTTTATCATTATCTGTAGAATGAGGGTTGTGTTTTTTCTAACTTCACTGCTTGAAGAGAGATAACCTAACATTAAGGTTGAATTGAGTACAATATTTCAAACAATAGGAAAAGCAAAACTGGGGGAAGGTGATTTTTACTGATGAATCCAAATTAACATTGTTTGGTAACAATCAGAGATTGTTTGTTCGACGGCAATGTGCAACATCTACAGTGAACTAATACCAGTGTGAGCTGTATTTGAACCAATGGTGTTAGAGATACACACATAACTGATGGTAGCCTAAATGCTGATAGGTACAAATATATTCTTAGCCATCATTTCATTTACTCAGGAACAAAACCTGTTGGGCAGATATTTATGTTTAGGCAAGACTGTGATTCCAGGCATGCTGCATATGGGATGAAATGATAAGTGGAAGGGAAAAAAAAGAAGCCTTTAGAACACTCACAAGCGTGGTTTGGCCTTCAATAAGTCCGATATGAATAGTATTAAGACTGTCTGGGTTTATATAAGTCAAAAGTAACAAAACAACTTGAGTGAATTATGTGATGTAAAGCAAGACATTAGGAACAACATATCACACTCATACATTGTTAAACTTATGGTAGCATAAAAACAGGGTATACCGTCCTGTTTAAAGCAAATACAAGCTGCTAGTGCAGAATTATACACTTTATTCGCTTTATTTATATTTTTACTGTAGTAATGTATTGTACTAATTACAAATTGACCATTTAGCTGCAAATAAATTGTTGTGACACCTATATGTGTATCATATATATGAATTTCCGCAATGATTTCCAATAACGCATATAGTCAGTTTAATTTCCTGTCATATAAAACGTAGTTTACCAAGCACTTTCCTTCTTTACTTGGTAATTTTCCAAGTACGTTTGTCAATACAAGATGTTGTGTTTCATTTCTTAATGAACTTTATTAAAGGTTTGTTTGTAGTTATGCACAAAGCTACACAATGGACTATCTGTGCTCTGCTCATCAGGGGAATCGAAACCCGGTTTTTAGCGTTGTAACTCCGCAGACATGCCGTTGTGCCACTGGGGGCGTTACTAAAGGAAAGAAAATTTAATTTACTGAGGAGACCGATAGATAGAGCACAGTAAGTGTCAGAAAGTAGAAAACATATATTATGCTCCACGAAGTAAGGAGTGACGTTTAAAATATGATAGAAATATATTCAAATTTAATAGTTTGTCAAACTTTTGTTAGGCTAAAAAATCAATCACATTTTAGTGTGGATAAATGTCAGAAAAAGTTATGCAAAATATACATAACCGATATTTATATATCAAAGGTAAAAAATGACACTATTGTTGCAAAAAAAAAGAACCCGGGCTTTTTCAAACGATATGTTTATGAGAAATTTAAAGTTTGCGACAGACTAGCTTTAAATAACAATAACAACAACAAATAAACACTATTTGCTATTTCAAGCTAAAACATACAATTACAATTTATAACTTTTTCGCTAGTAAAACATTCATGATGGAAATTTTAGATAACGAAAACTTAGAAGGCTTGTTGACGTTTCTTTGTTCAATACGTCTATTACACAACTCTGTTTTAAACATTCTGTTTATATGTCTGCGAAGCGTAATTTCAAAATACATGCTGGAGATGTGAGCATTTTCATTTACCTTCGTGATAAAATGAAACATGACTAATAGAGTTAGACATCGTTCACTAATTTTATTAACATAGTTTGTATAATATATAAGTTTTTACAGATATACAATTACATATAGAAACATACATTTTTTATTACATAAGATAGATAGACTTTAATATTTCACAAAAGGTGAATATTTAATCATCATAAAAATGATCGTTGAAAGACGAACAGAAAACTACGTGAACAAATTTGTTTTGTAGAAGTTTTTCGTATCGGTCTCAACTGTGTACGTAAACTCATTTCTGTTTTACATGGGTTAATAAAAACTGAAAAGGTCTAACAAATTGACCTTATTTTGAACATATTAGATAGATTCATTTTACATATCCAATTTCAAGCTTTTCCATCGTTATAGAATGCTTACTACAATCCCTATTAACTTTAGTAAAAATTCATTTTATGGACAAAACGAATGTATTAAGTGTCGTACAGTAATGGTGATTTATTTTATTATATAACACTTCGGGACAATAAAATTACATGTACTCATAATAGCTTTATATGTGGCGGTGGTTGTTACTACATTAACAAAATAAAAGATACTTTTTATTCAGGATATTAAAAGGCACTACATATAAATACGGATGAATAGTGAGTGTTAAAAATTCTAAAACTATAAAGTGACAAAAATATAAATCAATTAGCATTAATCGCCAATATTAACAAGATGAAATGTTCGCAACATTGTCTTTGATGACTCTTTTCAGTGATACACGTACTCTAAATTCAATGATTATTTTTTGAAGGTTTTAACTTTCATATCTTCCCTTTGTGGTCGTCGTTTATAATTTCAAACGAATCAACGATTATATAGTATTTAATGAATGTTAAGTTCGTCTTTCACTAAGTCCTTCTTTCGTTATTTAGCAAGTTACAGAGTGAGCTTGCACTGCTTTCTACCTTTTATTTGTTTTTGATAGAGACCCAGAACTTGTTATCTCTTCAAATTTCGTCAAGGACCAATAATGAAAGCTATGTTATTCTAAAAATACCATCTACTGCACGAGTCCAAATACAACGTGGAAAGTATAATCATTTTTTAGAATGAAACATCATACGTTTGAAGGCACACCGAAAATCAGGACTAAATATAGTGTAGATAATAGGGTTTAACATGGAATTTGAATACCCGAGCCACACAAATAGACTAAACAAATAAGAGGGAAGATTACAGCTGCTACATATTGGCATTACTAATACTACTACAAAGAACGGTAGCCAACACATAACAAAAACCCCAGTAATAATTGCTAGAGTTTTGGCTGCTTTTCTTTCTCTGTTAGTTTCTGCCAGCGAGTCTTTGGAGCATTTTATCTTTTTTCGTTTAGGACGAATATGGGATTTAAAGGAACCGTTATAGTTTGCCATATATCCGTTTCTAGATGAGAGCATTGCCTCAAAATGTGAGTTGCTTGACGAATGTGTCACAAATGTTGTCATTTCCGTCATTGAAGAAACTGGAGGGGGTACAGGAAGTTTTCGGAAAGAGCAGTAGCCAGGCGTTCCACTTCTTCGACGAATTCTTTTTCTAGCTTCTTGGTATATTCTCCAGTAGAGGCAAAGTACTAACACTAACGGAATATAGAAAGAAGCAAACGTAGCAAAAACTTGATAGCCTATGTCTTGACTAACGAGACAGATTTTGTGTATCAGGATGCGTTCTTTGTATTCTGGATCTTTCCAGCCTAGAACAGGCCCAAACGACACTATACCAGATACTGTCCACACAAGTAGTATCATAATTCCAATATGAAGGAAACTTCTTTGGTGAATATAATCCACGTTCGTCACAGCCCAATATCTGTCTACAGCAATAGCTAGTAGGTGAAGAATGGAAGCCGTGCAACACAGGACGTCGCACGAGGTCCACACGTCGCACAGTATGAGACCAAAAACCCATTCTTGCCTAACTTCATAAACGGCCCCAAGTGGCATGACTAGGCAAGCTACTGTTAAATCAGTAAGAGCTAGGGATAGCACGAGATAGTTGCCCACCGTATGAAGATTCTTTTCCAACAAAATGGCTGCGATGACCAGAACATTGCCAAGAACAGTAGCCAAAATCAAAACCGATAGAGTCATAGAAACGAAGATAATCCACAGAATTTCAGAGTTGACAAAAGTAGTGGAACTTGGAACTAGAGTGATGTTAATGGAGTAATTAACAGGATAAAAACAGCATTCCCCATCTATTGTCCAATTTACAGAGTTATTGATAATGTTGATATACCCTGTTTCTTCTAAGCTGGTATTTTCCACAAAACTTGTCCATCCTATAGAGTTGGCCATGCTAGTTCTTAAACCTAGAATAGATAAAAATGCACAAATACATAAAATAAAACTACGATCTCTGATGCCATTTTTATATAAATGAAACTCTGTTATATCTACGACAACTTGTCTCGTCACCATGCCAACGTTTATAGCTAAAATATTGTTGAAGAAGTTTGCCGGGGTATCAGCTTTAGTAATATATAAACTTAGCATCTTTATAGTAGAAAAACACCAATCATTAAGAACAGATTAGTGAAAACAGTTTATGTTTTGTTTAAATTTACATTTTAAGTGTTTATGAACAATGATTTTGAAAATGAAGAAATTACTTGAATAACTTATCATCTAAAATACAAAGTTTGCTAGATGTTGTATCAATAAACAAGAGTATTTCATTAGTGAAGTTTTTTTAACTTTATAGCGTGTATGTCTTTTGAAACAAGTTTATTTCGTCCCTTCATCCTGATAAAGTTTTACCATAGACAAGCTTCCCTCATATAGTTGTTACCTTTTAAGAACTCACAATGATTTCGAGATAAAACATTTTCTACTTAGTCCGCGATTTTAAACACAAAACGTTTTTGTCAATGGAAACTGAGATCACTTAGCAAAAAATCAAGGATATACATGTATATATAGTATACTTATATTAGTTGTGCATCAAAATGATGTTTGTACTGTATAATCAGTGTGCTCGTAACGAAATCAAACTATATCTTCAACTATACATATTTTGTTCAGTTGTTACACACATACGACAACTTATATAAACTGTTTGACAGCTGTTATACCGAAACAGTAATATTACAATATAAATTAAATTTTGAAAGGGTGCTTCACAGAAAATCAAAAACGAATCAGCTCAAATATATTAGGTCCCTGTAACGTTAATTTGATTTTCATATCTAAACAGAACCTTTTGGAGTTATAGTAATTACTTATTTTTAATTATTTAAAATATGATGGGTCGAGGTTATTTAACATTTCTCAATATGTAGAATTATATCTGAAACTTCTGCTATTTGACTTTAACTCATAGTGGTTCGGTTGAACATTTACAATGTGTAGTTGTAATTCATCATTCTTCTCCTTATGCAGCTGTTATTGTGTAAGAATGTGAAAACAATAATAATTGGAATTCATGACCCCTGATCTTGGGAAAATATGACAGGTATTTCTTGCCCTGAAAAAATGTTACAGTTAATAAATAATAACTTCCAATCAGGCTGTGACATTTCCTGAGTGGCTAAAAGACAGGCCAGTCAATGATTGCCTTACCAGCCTACGTTGATCTGACTCATTTTATAAGCTGTACTATTTCCTATAGATCATTTTCCAGACGGTTCTGCTATGATTAGTGTCTGG